ATTTACGCTATTAAAATTTTAAATCGATGTCTTTCGCGATTCCCTAGAAACTTCCAACGGACTAAGTACGTTAAACACCCTGTATATTAAACGTCATTTATGTGTTATGCTATACTTAATTAATAATAAAAGATACAAAAATATTTGAATAAAAATGACAAAATATACTAAACATTTATGAATACTGCTAATTCAAAACTGATCCTGGCCACAGAAACATCATTTGCATAAAAAAGTTAATATATTAAATAATAGTCAAATATCAATACTAACGTGTTATATTCAAATTTATAAAACAAAGTTGCTTCTTCGATTATTTACCCTTTAAAAATTGTTAAATTTTAAACTAAAATATCACCAGCGCCCCCTGTACGTTATAATCTAAACAAATTTTTTTCATGGATTAATTGTCATTAGTAAGATCTATATTTTGTTTAAATTTCAAATCGATACGTTTTGAAATAAAAAAGTTATTTAAAAAAAAATGAAATTTCTTAATTTTTAACACAGCGAAGAAAAAAATAAAAATAAAAACAAAGTTGTCAATGAACGAGATTTTTTTTTGAAAAAAGTACTGCATTTAGATGTAGAAATAAGGTAAGAAAGTTTCAATCGATTTTTTGAACCCTTGCAAATCGACCGTTCGATCCTTTCGCGAAACCGTAGTTAAAGTACTTTTCGGCAACGATTTTGGCATCTTCAGAAGCAAAGTGTAACTAAATCTAACTGCTAAATCTAGCATATTTATACTAATTTTAAGCTAAGGTTAACTGAACTGTGAGCGGATATAGTTTACTAAACTATGGACCGTAACCGCTTCAGTGAACACGTAAAGATACTAACAAACTAATTTATAAAAACTAGGTCTGCTATCGCGATTTATTGGGTTTTAAACCCACCCTAGTAGATAAGTTAGTAAATAAAATTAAATTCTCGCCTTTCTAGGTTAACCACTTTTCAAACAGAGCCTACAAAAGTCAAGTTTATGACCATTCCTTTCGAAACCCAGTACACTCGAGGTCTGGAAGGGATTTTTCGAAAACTGGACTTTAAAATTGCTTTTAGTTCAAGCAATAACACACTCCAGACCCTTTTAGGCAACACAAAAGATAGCGAAAATTAAAAAGTCGGGGATCTACGAAATAAACTGTCAAGATGGTGACAAGAAATATGTTGGACAAACTAAACGATCCATCCAAGTAAGGTTCAAAGAGCACTTGGCCCATGCTAGATATGGTAGGACAGAGAAATCGAGTGTTGCCCAACATATACTTGATGATGGTCATAGAATAGGACTTGGCAACCTTAAATTTATTAAGGAAGTTAGGGAACCAAGTCTGCTAGATAGTTATAAAAGTTTATCCACCTATAGAATAGAAATAAATCTTTAAATAGCGATAATGGAACTGTACCCAACTCTAGTTTGTATAAATTAGTTTGTTAGTTTCTTTTTACGTGTTCACTGAAGCAGTTACGGTTCATAGTTTAGTAAACTGTGTCCGTTCACGGTTCAGTCAACCTTAGCTTATAATTAGTATAAATATGGTAGATTTAGCAGTTAGATTTAGTTACACTTCGCTTCTGAAGATGCCAACATCGTTGGCGAAGAGTACTTTAAGCACTTTGTGTTTTGTTTTGGTGTTTGGGAATATTTCTAATATTTGTTCAGCTAGTTAGTAACAAATATTTTTTTGAAAAGGCTTAAAAATTTATATGATTTTTATGATAGTTTTGTGTTTTTTCAAAAAAAAAATTGTAAATTCCGAAAATAAAATGATTTCATGATAAATTGTATTTAATCTAATTGTCACGAAGCTAGGAAAAACACTTGATCCCAGGGTATAATGAAAATTTGATAAAATTGTAACTTAACTACATAAGTTTCGGTTATAAAAAAATATTAAAAGTTTCATAAATCGATAAAGAAAAACCTTTATACTCCTATTGCATAATATTTTTTTTTACATGAATAATGATAAACATTATAAATTCCCTGCCTAACAACGGGAATAATGAACTTAATATTCACGTTGTTAGGCATCGGTGATTGCCGATTTCAATATTCACTGTGTTTTAAACCAATCGGGTTTTAAATTGGAAGAAGGCGACTATAATAACATTTAAAATTGGTAGGTACAAAGTGAGGTTATCCATTTGACAGATGTCAGATTTTATTTAATTATTTTTAAAAATCATGTAATCTACTTATTGAAGTGTAGATAAAGTATATTATTATACTCAAGATTATGCGCATTATTCAATCGGATGATTTGGGTATCTCGCCTGGCGACCTCCATGGGGTTACCTCATCCTGGTAAATAATAGCCTGAATTCTCGTATTACAATTAAAGCAAGTTAGATCTAAGTAAGTATTAAAAAAAGATGACTAAGTAGACAGCTCCAAAAAATTATTGCATATAAATTAGGGTGTTTCAAAAAAACCTTTTTTTTGTTTTTTTTCTCGGAACCACGCTCAAAAGTTTCGTATAGATATAAAAATGAGCCTGTGAAAAAATTAGCTCTTAATTTCAAAATTAAGATGTTCCGCATCGCACTTTTCGATTTTCCATAAGAATAACATAGGAAAAATTATTTTTGTTTCTTTTTATTTTTGTAACTAAAGAACAATAGGTCGTACTTTAATGTTCTTGACATATTTTTGTAGAGAATTGAACGCTCTACAAAAAAGGTTACCTATGATTTTTTGATAAATTTGATCCTTCTAAAGAAATTTAAGGTCAAAGTTCAAATTATACAAAATGTTTGGGTTTTTTAACTTATTTGGCGAGTCTGCCCGACTCATTTAAAAAATTTTGAAATATTTTTGTAGAGAATTGAACGCTGTTTTTCCGAACTTCCAGAGCTCAAAAACAATATTTCGATTCGTTTTTAGCAGTTTGAACTAAAAAATCCAGAAAAAATCCGAGAAAACGACTAAATTGACGGTTAATTTCACTTTAACCTTGAATAACTTTTAACCAAGTTTACTTACCGAAAAATGACTCTAGATCTTTTTTGTAGAGCGTTCAATTCTCTACAAAAATATTTCAATTTTTTTTTAAATGAGTCGGGTAGTTAAAAAACACAAAAATTTCGTATAATTTGAAGGATCAAATTTATCAAAAAATCATAAAAAAACTTTTTTGTAAAGCGTTCAATTCTCTACCAAAAATATGTCAAGAACTTTATAGTACGACTTATTGTTCGTTAGTTACAAAAATAAAAAGAAACAAAAATAATTTTTCCTATGTTATTCTTATGGAAAATTGAAAAGTGCCATGCGGAGCTCATTTTTTCACAGGCTCATTTTTATATCTATACGAAACTTTTGAGCGTGGTTCCGAGAAAAAAAAACAAAAAAAAGGTTTTTTTGAAACACCCGAATATAAATACTTAAAACTATTAATGATTTTTTTTGCGTTATAAAGATTTTTTATCTGTGATTAATTTTTTACGTATGGTTTTAAAATCCCCTCGATTTAGTTTAACTTTTAAATATATACATTTACCATAAATTTATGGTTTTTGATCAATGTATTTGATTATTTTCACTATAGTGAATACTCTCTAAAAATGTATTAGTCAAAAATGACTAATTTAATAGTTATTAGTGGCTGCTTTTTCACTTGTACCATGGTTAACCATGGAATACCATGGTATCCCAAAATTTAACAGCCAATTCTTATGTAAAATTGTCCCCTGAATCCGGAAATACCGTCAAAAATTATTAAACTGGAGCAGTTTTTGAGATATAGTCAATTCCATATTAAATGGGAAATTGAGTATATCTCAAAAACTGTTATACTTTTTTAACTTTTAAAGACATTTTCTAATTCAGGGGACAATTTTACATAAGAATGGGCTGTTAAATTTGGGATACCATGGTACAAGTGAAAAAGCAGCCACTAATAACTATTAAATTAGTTATTTATGACTAATTTATTTTTAGAGAGTAGATGAAACCGAGAATTTCGAATTGTTTATAAATCGTATATATGGTGCTAATACTTTGTAATGGGAAAAACTCCCTTACCTTTTTGTTGCTAAAAAATTAAAGATTTTGAAATTTTTAAATAAAATATTTTGTTTTTTTGGATATGAGTTTATAAACTATTAAAATATATTTTAATTCTTTGTGTTGTTATGCCTTTCCGGATTTATTGAAAAGCAGTTAAGTTAAACATTACTAGGTCGGTATTTTAAAACCCAAAATGTTGATCTGTTTAGTTCCAAAAATATGTGCCACGATTTAGCGATTTGGTATGGAATAAACCCATAATCTTTGAATTGCATATTTTGATCATTACATTTTCCATTTTTGTAATAATTTTTAATAATGGTACATTATAGACCAGGCGGAGAAAGCACAATTATCGACGAGGCGCTAGCCGAGACAGTAGATTGTGTGCGAGGCAATTAATAGGCTTTCGCCGCCGGGTTTTTTTAAGCCTTTGATTAAATATTTTTTATGATACTGTCACATTATTTTTAGGTTGGGTTCAACTAACATGATGATATTTTAGCTTTATTTCTGCGTACATGTACGGAGTTTAATAGTAATTCTTTTGAACTAGTATTAATAAGAAGTCTTCCTATATGGACTTAAGTGTTTTACTATAAACATAATTTTACGCTTAAAATTATAATCAAATCTACAACATTATATTAATGATAGTTATATTTATAAATTAGTTGTGCATTTTATTGGAGCGGCCTTCTTGTTGTTTAAACATTAAAATTGTTTTATCGTCAAACAGAGTGCTTGGCGTAAAAGTGTAAAAGAAAGGAGGGATTCACATATGTATCATCGCATTGTAGTAGGGTGGAATTTTCTAAGAGTGATGGTTTTGCGGCAAGGTTTTGGGATGAAAGTATTATTTTGTGAAGATTCCACCCACTATTTTGACGTTTTTCAACTATATATACCAACTTGGTGGTTTTGTATAACCAGATCATCTTCGTACATCAAGAAAACAACAGTTGTTTGCAGCTCAGTTTGTTCTTAGTTCAGTGGTGGTTTTATTTTTATTAGTGAAATTATGAAGGTATGGATATCTACTATTTGTGTGGAAGGTACCTTCTGAACTTAAAACACTTTATTAGGGCATAAGCACTTCTGATTTTACTATAATATAATTTCATACAAAGTAAAAATTATCTAGTTCAACAAAAATTATTAGTTTAACTTGTTTATAATACAGAAAATATTGCGCAATTTAAAAAAATGCCTTAATTAATTTTTTATGTAACTGTATATTAAATATAGCTTTTACTTGTCCATTAAAACATGATTTATAATATTCTAGGCAATATTTATTTTCTATATCAAAGTAAAAATATTGTTTACGAATTACACAATTTACTTTTTTTGTAATATTTTTTTTCTCCTATTGTTAAATGGGCCGTATATTTATTACTTGTATTATTACTTATAGTATTGAATTTTTTACAATCTCTTTTTATAATTAAATATTACTGAATTCATTTTTTAAATTGGTACATTAAAATACTAAATGAAAAAAAATCAATATTGGATTTGATTTAAACATATTTACCCACCCAGTAAGTAGTTAAAGTATTTTATTCAGAATGAAAGTTCTTTCTTACATAACTTAATTATTTTTATTAATATATCGCTTTTCGCGATTTGACAGGTTTATAGGCTTAAACACTACCTAGGCTACTGCTGTATTTAATATTTTAATTTTCGTACATTAATAGGTAACTATTGAAACAAAAATTATAATTTAATCCCGATATAACATTTTAAATCTATTTATTTATCTTTTTGTGACAATTAAATAGAATATATGAGCTGATTGGCAATTAGGATTTGCACAGGTTAGTTATAAAATCTAACCATTAATTAAAAATCTATATAGGTGCTCCATACAAGTCATTCTACATAAGGAATCACTTATTGTCAATATCTTCCTACTACATAAAGCAATTCTACCTATTAAATTTACTCTCAAGGTTCTAAATATTGTTTGAGGTGAAAGGTTTGGTACCTTATTATTATTATGTAAACTAAGTTGTAGGATGCACAATAGCAATAAACATATCCTTACTCGGATGCACTTAAACTTATTAATTAGACATATTTTACTTGACTAAACTCTGCTCGCTTTAGGTCGCCGTTTTCGTGATAGCAACCCTAGCTGTGGTCCTTGCGGAACCTCCGGCGCCCAGCAACCAATACATCCCTAGCAACCAATACGGACCACCAAATGGAAATGGTGGCGGTGCTCCCAACAACCAATACGGCGCTCCAGCTCAAACTCAAGCAATCTATGGACCACCCAACGGCGGATACTTACCACCGGGTGGCGGATACGGAGGCGGCAAAGATGAGGACGAAGGCGTAAGATACTTGTTTAATATAAAAAAAATTGAAAAAAATATTTTTTTCTACTCCCACCTTTAAAACGCCCTTTATCGTACATGTTTCCATGACACTAAGTGACCTTTTAAATACACATTGACAAGTTGTGGCTTTACGGCACTTTAGTCACGGGCTGAAGTTAGCAACAGGTTTTTAGTCACGGGCTGAAGTTAGTTTTAAGTTAGTTGACAGTTGTCAAATGTCATACAATCGTTAAAATAAAGTGCCTTTCTTGTAAAATAATACTAAATGTGAAAATTAATTTATTATCTCTATACAAAAATACAAAAATATTAAATAGTTTCTCAACGCCATTATTTGAAAAGTTTATATGAACATTGTACTGACCTTTTATTTCGCCGGCAGTAAACTATAACTTAAATTCGGGCACGGACTCTACTATAAAGTCCTCATAAAACATTTCCTTTACTTTCACTGTGAAAAACTGTCAATTTTCAATATACATTTCGATTTATAACCTTTATAATTGTGTTTATAAAATGTAAAAATGTGACATTTGACAGTTTCCCCTGTTGTTTCATAGATGGCGCTTATACAAATTTTTGATTTAAATCATTTTAAGATAATAATAAGTATTTGTCGTAGAAAAAGTATAGTATGCACCTCGTTTATAAACTTTTCTATACACTCATTAATTTAAGAACTCGCTCGCAAGCTCGCTCGTGCCTAAATTAAATTCGTGTATAAAATGGCGTTTATCAAACTTGATACATAATATACTATTAGAGTAGAAACTTAATAAAATTGGATTTTTTCTGTAAAATTACCTTTGTTTATTAATTCACTAAAGTTGTTATTGATAATAATAATAATAAGATAATCTTTATTAAGTGTAAAGAACAAACATACCAACAAAAGGCGAAGTTCAGTACCCTACACTAAGGTAGTACCAAGTATTATAAAATTAATGAATTTACTATAAGAAAAGACAATATTTTTAATTATGAAAATAAATTAACTAAAATTTTTAATTTATTACATGATTTAATTAGTTACTATTTATAATCAAAATTACAGTAATTAAACTTTGTAAGCAACATAAATTGCCTAAATTCCTAAGTGAAAGCATTTTACATAAGTAGTAAAATATAACACATCCAAGTACATGTCCCATGAAAAACAAGTTATATAGGATGTAATAGGTATTGGATTTATAAAGCTTGTTCAAAGGTGAGAAAATACCTCGATGCTAATCGAAATAAATGTTTGCAATGAATCTTCTAATGGCACTTAGATGGTACTAACAGTTAAAATGGTAATTGAAATCCACATTATATTTTATCAATGATCTTTGAACTGTTAGCGCATACCTACAGTGCAGTTTTTATCCGGAATATGAATACGTTACACCTAAACTGTGCATAATTATTAAACATGATGATTTAATAAAAACCTATTGCCTTCTTAGTAAACGATGATTATAAGATTTGAGAAAGATATTTCTAGTGGAGGCTCCAACAGTTATTATACTAATGGTTCTAAAATAATTTTAAATTTGTTCATATAGGTTTTTAAAAATTCTAATGCAGAATACATATTATTGTTTACAAACTTTACAGTTTGATTTATGACACACTTCTCTTCTTTTTAGGAACCAGCTAACTACCAATTCAAATACGACGTCGAAGACGCTGCATCCGGAAACGAATTTGGTCATGAAGAAGAACGTCAAGGAGATGTTGCCCGTGGTAAATACTACGTCCTCCTTCCCGACGGCAGACGTCAAACCGTCGAATACACTGCTGATAACGAAGGATACAAACCTAAGATCACCTACGAACAAGTCAACAACGGAGGTTACCAAAACGGCGGATATCCAGCTAACGGTAACGGTGGCGGAAACGGTGGATACCAATATTAAGGTTTAAGACAGAGTAGGTTTATATCTTAGGTAACCTAGCGATTTAGCTTATTTATTGTGTTCAGAAGATTTACTAGTTCTATTTTTAACATATTTTATTATTATTTACTTAGTCACTTGGTTATTTTTCTGTTTCATGCTTTATTGTGATCTTATTTTTCTTTGGAAATATCCATTTGACTTTACCACTTAACTCTTTCATTAATGTTGAACATGTATATAAACCTTTATCGACATTAGTGATTTCCCCCTTACATTTTATATATTTTCAATAACTAACGGCCGGAATATTTTTTTATATAATAAACTAAATGAGGCATTTAATTTTAACTACTAAAACATGTTTTTATTTAAAGTCTTATTTAATTTATTATAAAACCGACCTAAAGTAATTTTTACAATCTGGCTAGTACTACTTTTAAAGTACCTACATTTCTTAGTACCTACCAACTCTTTTGGTCTGGCTTTAACTTTTGTATTATATTTATTTTAACTAGATTTTTACTTATGATGGAAATGATACACGAATATGGACTACGAGTTATACCTAATCAACGTGAATTGATTTGATTAACTGTTTTTATTTATTATAAATAAGTTAAACAACAACACTTAATCCTCTGTTGGTTTTGTATATGGATATTTATATAAATGCCATATAATGTAGTTTATAGTTTGAGTATTTTTTACGAAGAATGTATACAACTTTCAATAAATGATTTTGCATTATTAAATATTGATTTTATTTTAAGTGTTTGCCTTTTTCTTTAAATTTTAGTGCCAAATTTACCACTATGCACTATCAGGGCCGGCTCCATACATTTCGGTGCCCCGTGCAAAAGTTATTTTTGTCGCCCCTCTTACAATTACTTACCAGCTTTATAGTGCTCATTAAGCATTAATTAAATTTAAACTACATAAAAAGTTATTTATAATATGAAAATTGTATTGTCAAAAAATTATAATTGGCAAAAATATATCAGATATTATCGATAGTCTTAAGTTGACACTCTTAACTAACAATGACACAAATAAAGGTTATGTAACCAAAGTCACATCCACAACTTAAACCAACCCATGGCGCAATATTTGGCGCCAACAAATACAACGCCTGTTCAAAAACAAACTGTATTGCATCCAATGTATATGTGGTAAATGGAAACTCTTGTTATAGTTTATAACTAAGTATATTATATGATTTATTTAGGCGCGATACATCTCATCCAGCTGATGATGTTTTAGCGACTGGATGTGCGGGTAGGTAAGCGAATTAATCGATTGGGTATAAACAAACTTTACTTTATTATATACACACTTATACACAAACTATATACAAACTTAGCGTCCCTGCTTAAAATACCCCATAGAGACCTATACAAAATATTCTATAGGGCGCTACCGGTTTCAATATGTGCATTTGTCCAAGGTTTTTTCCGGATACAGCCCGATAGAAAATGTATAGGAAATTACCTATAGGCACACCATAACTTTTACATTTTCCCTATTGAGACCGATAGAAAATAACTCAATGAAGGATATATAGGGATATCCCTATAGAACAACCATAAAACATTTGACAAAATTTATTAAAACCTATGGGGTCCTATAGGGAAAAAACTAATTTCTAGATTTATGTGTATTTTCCCCATTGAAACCGATAGCAAATAAATCAATGGTGGATATCCCTATAGAACAACCATAAATCTCAACTATGGGTCCTATACAAACCGATACACCCTATAGAAACACCATACATTCCGATACAAATATCTATCGGTTTGAACAGGGTCTCTATGGGGTATTTTAAGCAGGGGTGTAGTTACCAGGAGCCGATGTATACAAGATGAAGAATTAGGATGTAGTGTCGATGGAACTTCCACCAGGCTCCCAAACCGTTGGTCGGGCTAGGAAGTAGGTAGAAAATATTTAAAACGAGGCAAAAATCCAAAAAGTAATAAAGTCTATTATATTTTTAGATTTAATTTATAAAGGTATAGAAGAGGTAAAGGAGTAATAAGCTGGGAAATTCTGCTGTGTTGAAAGAAACGGCTCCGGGTACTAAAATATTAATAAAATAATTAACGGTTTAGTCCCCTCATCACTCCCCTGCCAGTGATGAAGATCACGAGACTCCGGATTGGAAGCGATCGGGAAATCGGACGCGTCTTCCATGACGTGTGACGTTTTCTCGAGGTAGACGGTCCAGGCGTCTGGGTAGGCTGATGGTTTTGGACACCCAGCGTTTGGATGTTTGCTTGTGTTGAGTCATATCGCGTTGAGGCATCTCGCGTTGAGGCATCTCGCGTTGAGGCATCTCACGTTGAGGCATCTCGCGTTGAGGCATCTCGTGTTGAGGCATCTCGCGTTGAGAAGGATTGAAGCCGTTGAACGTTAGAGCTGTTGAACGTTAGAGCTGTTAAACGTTAGGGCTGTTCAACGTTAGAGCTGTTGAACGTTAGAGCTGTTGAACGATAGAGCTGTTGAACGTTTGAGCTGTTTAACGTTCTAGCTGTTTAACGTTAGAGCTGAGGCTGTCATCCAGTGTTTGAATGATTAAGCTGGGACCGTCATCCAGCGTTTGGATGGTTGGTTGGTGGTATCCAACATTGTCAACTGTGGTTGACCTTAGTGCTGGAACCAGTGTGGACCGAGGCTGTGGATATTGGCCTCCAGTACTGTTATAATGAGGCAGATCTAAGTGCTGGACATCAGTGTGGACCATGTTGTGCACCGCAGCGTAGGGAAGTGCTACGAAGCTCGCTACGTTTGCGAATGAGTGCCGTAGGCCGGAAGCTTTGGTCTTCGTCATATTGCTTGTGTTGGTCAGTGGCGGCTGGTGGATTTTGGGTATACCAATATTTTAGTTATTAGACATGGGACCCACACCAAATTCATAATAGTTTATAATGACATTAAATAGACAAGTTCGGCGCAAACAGAATTTAAATTGAAGTTTGCGAAAAAAAGTTAGTTTTTCCTGTCGCCTCACCCGCCTCCAGGCCCCCATTTTTAAGATAATTCAAATTAAAGTGGTGCAATTTATTATCTACTATAATTTATCCACAAATTTAAAATTTTATTAAAAAAGTCCAAATATTACAGGTTTTATACAATTTTGAATATTTTTTTATTTTAATAAAATAAATATTAAAAATTTAAAATCGAATAAAATCTGTAATATTTGGATTTTTTAAATAAAATTTTAAATATAAATAAATTTTTCGATAAATTATAGTAGATAATAAATTGCACCACTTTAATTTCAATTATCTCAAATAGGGGGGCCTGTAGGCGGGTGAGGCGACAGGAAAAACTAACTTTTTTTCGCAAACTTCAATTTAAATTCTGTTTGCGCCGAACTTGTTTATTTAATGACATTATAAACTATTATAAATTTGGTGTGGGTCCCATGTCTAATAAGTGAGATATTGGTATGCATAAAATCCACCAGCCGCCACTGGTGTTGCTACAGAGTAATCACCTCGGGGTCACCACTTTAGCGACTGGATGTGCGGATAGATAAGCGAATTGATCGATTGGGTATATACAAACTTAACTTTATTATATACACACTTATACACAAACTATATACAAACTTAGCGTGTAGTTACCAGGAGCTGATGTATACAAGACAAAGATGTAGTGTCGATGAGAGCCAATGGAATTTCCACCAGGCTCCCTCGTCCCCCACCGTTGGTCGGGCTAGGAAGTAGGTAGAAAATACTTAAAACAAAGCAAAAATCCAAAAAGTAATAAAGTCTATTATATTTTTAGATTTCATTTATAAAGGTAAAGGAGAGGTTAAGGAGTAATAAGCAAGTAATGCAAATGAGGGGAAATTTTTCTGTGTTGAAAGAAACGGCTCCGGGTACTAAAATATTTACAACATAATTAAGGGTTTAGTCCCCACAATGTTAAGACTGTTGCCACGTTTACAACAGCCCCCTTTTTAAACACTATTCTAAAAAGTCTTTTAAGTATGATATGGTATTTTGACCAAACTCCCTGATCTAGTTATTCTAGTCTTATTATCAGACAATAAAGTTTTATTAATCTCTAAAGATGTTTCAGCACTATCAGAGTTTATGACAGGAGTAGATTTTTCAGATATACTTGGCAATTCATTTAATTTTGGATTTATTAAAAGACCTACGTAAGTGAATACTATTTCTTCTAAGAAACCTGCCATCATTTTTCTGCAACAAAAATGAGGAGTTTTAAGTCCCTTACTAAAACATTATTTTCCAGATTTAAGCTCTGATTCTCGAAAGGGAGCGTGGGTTCGGACCCCACACCTGACACCATGTGGTAAATGGAAACACTGGTTGTAGTTTATTTTATAATTTATTTAGGTGCCATACGTTAAGTTAAGACTGAGGCGCCCTCAGGTTGCCATGTTTATAACAGTATAAACATATAGTTGGGATTTATGGTTGTTCTATAGGGATATCCACCCTTGATTTATTTGCTATTGGTTTCAATGGGGAAAATACACATTAATGTAGAAATTAGTTTTTCCTCCATAGAATCCTATAGGTTTTAATAAAATTTTGACAAATGTTTTATGGTTGCTCTATAGGGATATCCCTATATATCCTTCATTGAGTTATTTGCTATCGGTCTCAATAGGGAAAATGTAAAAGTTATGGTGTGCCTATAGGTAATTTCCTATACATTTTCTATCGAGCCGTATCCGGAAAAAAACCATGGACAAATGCACATATTGAATCCGGTAGCGCCTGATATTTTGTATAGGTCTCTATGGGGTATTTTAAGCAGGGTACCTCCTATTTATACTTAATCTAATTTAAATAGAATGGGACCAAAATTTCAAAGATGCGAGGAAGCCATTTGGCAAGTGAGCTAAGTTGACAGCCTGGAACATGTCTTTAAAAGTAATTCATGTGTTTCTGTCAGGGTTTTCGTGTAGGACCCATCCTAGCATTTGAGACAGCTGTGCTGTCAATAGGGATCCTTGGACAAAATTCTTTTTAGTACGAACGTTAAGGTTCTTTAAAAAGGAGCCAATTATTAGCATCTCTGGAAGACTTAGCTTTGTTTTTAGTTTATTTTTTATCTCGGAGAGTCGAAGCTGTTTTTGATTTA